GACTGAGCCATTTCGAGAAATTTGGGGACCGTTGATTTAATTTATCTAAATTATTTTGATGGAAACCAATTTAATCGCAGTGGCTTGAACCGGGCAAAAGTCGTAACAAGGTAGCTGTAGGTGAACCTGCTGCTGGATCATTACTTTATGTGATGTTCAATTTTGAATCGCAATGAAATAATTGTTGTGTAACGGCTGTCGCTGGTGTCTAGGTGTTGCTGATACAGTTGTGAACGTCCGTGGCTGTATATGTGGTGACATGTTAGGACTATAATGAGTTTAAGACTTAATGAGCCTCTTAAGTGAGGACGCCAGCACTCTTTTTTTATATTTTAAAAAAAACAAAATTCCTAGCCTTTCCGGTGGATCACTAGGCTCGTGGATCGATGAAGAACGCAGCAAACTGCGATAAGTTTTGCGAACTGCAGCAGCCTTGAGCATAAAAGTTTTGAACGCATATTGCCGCATAGGGGTCAAACCCTTTGCTATGTCTGGTTCAGGGTCATTATCTTTCAAAGCGAAAGCTTTATTGTATAATTGCTTTTGTGGCTTCTTTATGTTTTAAATTGATTGTTAGATATGTTTAATTGTTCGCATGTATCATCAACAATATTGATTTTTTGACCTGAACTCAGTCGAGAGCACCCGCTGAACTTAAGCATATCAGTAAGCGGAGGAAAAGAAACTAAACAGGATTCCCCTAGTAACGGCGATTGAATAGGGAAATGTCCATCGCTAAATCATTTTGCCTAAGGCATTATGAGGTGTAGCGTATAAGCCGTAATTTTTAATCTTTTGTCTCAAATAAGTCCCCTTGACAGGGGTTCCACAGAAGGTGCAAGTCCTGTACATTGAGATAATTGATCGATATTTACGTGCTTTAGAGTCGGGTTGTTTGGGATCGCAGCCCAAAGTCGGTGGTAAACTTCATCTAAGACTCAATATTGCCACGAGACCGATAGCAAACAAGTACTGTGAAGGAAAGTTGCAAAGCACTTTGAAGAGAGAGTTAAAGAGGACGTGAAACCGGAGAGGTGGAAACGGATAGAGTCGGCGTATCTTTCAAGTATTCATTTACATTATTTTTATGTTGTGATCTCTGAGCTCCAGATTGGGACAGAAAGAAGCATCATAATTTTCTGTGATGCATTTGCTTGTTTGGTGCTTGGGGATGTTTGAGGCAGATTTGTAACCGCCGTTTTGAGGCCAGCTTGCTGGTACCCAAACAGCGTTAGCATCTTTTGTCTTGGACATTTGAGTATGGTTTACGGGCATTTATTGGTTCGATCTGATTGTAAGTTACGGTCGCATGCGACACGTGCTTTTCATTTAGATCGGTCCAGTTAATGCTCTCGTACTCGCTCCCCATGTAAAAGCCGGTCATCTATCCGACCCGTCTTGAAACACGGACCAAGGAGTTTATCGTGTGCGCAAGTTTTTGGGTGTTAAAAACCTAAAAGCGAAATGAAAGTAAATGGCTCTTTAGAGTCTGACGTGCGATCTTGTAAAAAAGGGCAGCATGGCCCCATTCTAACTGTTTACAGTAGGGTGGAGGAAGAGCGTACGCGGTGAGACCCGAAAGATGGTGAACTATTCCTGAGCAGGACGAAGCCAGAGGAAACTCTGGTGGAAGTCCGAAGCGGTTCTGACGTGCAAATCGATCGTCTGACTTGGGTATAGGGGCGAAAGACTAATCGAACCATCTAGTAGCTGGTTCCCTCTGAAGTTTCCCCCAGGATAGCTGGAGCTCATTAGTAGTTATACTCGGTAAAGCGAATGATTAGAGGACTTGGGAACGAAATGTTCTTAACCTATTCTCAAACTCTAAATGGGTATGATGTCAAAGTTGCTTGATTTTGAACTTTGGCGTTGAATACGAGTTCCAAGTGGGCCATTTTTGGTAAGCAGAACTGGCGATGTGGGATGAACCAAACGCGGAGTTGAGGTGCCAAAGTGCCCGCTCATTAGACACCATAAAAGGTGTTGGTTGATACAGACAGCAGGACGGTGGCCATGGAAGTCGGAATCCGCTAAGGAGTGTGTAACAACTCACCTGCCGAATCAACTAACCCTGAAAATGGATGGCGCTGGAGCGGGCCACCTATACTCTGCCGTCATATGCTTGTATTTTCCGTGAAAAGTCTTGCAATGACGTGTAAGAGGGTCGTAGTGGTTGCAATGAAGGCTTTGGGTGTGCACCCAGCTGGAGCTTCCACTAGTGCAGATCTTGGTGGTAGTAGCAAATATTCAAGTGAGATCCTTGAAGACTGAAGTGGAGAAGGGTTCCACGTGAACAGTAGTTGAATGTGGGTCAGTCGATCCTAAGGCACCGGCTAAAGCCGTCTAGACACTGCGGGGAGATGAGATACTTAACGGTATATTGTCTACTCGGTTGCCGAAAGGGAAGTGGGTTAATATTCCCACACCAGGCATGGGAGATGGTGATCCGCAAGGATTACTTTGCGCGGTGACGCAAACGAACTCGTAGACCTCGTGTGGAGTCCGGGCCAGAGTTCTCTTTTCTGGTTTAGAGATCATGTCCCTGGAAGTGGCTCAGCCTGAGATAGGGATGCTGGTCTCGTAAAGCGCAGCGGTTCCTGTTGTGTCCCGTGTGCTCCACATGAGCCGTGAAAATACGAGGGAGGCAATTTAAAATCTCCAGCCTGATCGTACCCATATCCGCAGCAGGTCTCCAAGGTGAACAGCCTCTAGTCGATAGAATAATGTAGGTAAGGGAAGTCGGCAAATTAGATTCGTAACTTCGGGAAAAGAATTGGCTCTAAAGGTTGGGTCAGTCGGGCTGTTGTGTGAAACAGGTGGACTTTGCTCGTGGCTGCTTGATCTTCCCTTCGGGGCGGCGCTTGTGGACTAGTAGTGAGGACTGCTTGTGGAGCGCTTCAGCTGCGTACTATTTCGCAAGATATAGTACTTCGATTGGCGCTGAACAACCAGTTTAGAACTGGCACGAACTCCGGGAATCCGACTGTCTAATTAAAACAGAGGAGACGGATGGTCTTTGCAGGACGTTGACCGTGTCTGATTTCTGCCCAGTGCTCTGAATGTTAAGCCAAGGAAACTTGATTAAGCGCGGGTAAACGGCGGGAGTAACTATGACTCTCTTAAGGTAGCCAAATGCCTCGTCGGCTAACTACCGACGCGCACGGGTTTGAGCGAGATTGCCCCCCAATGGACAAGCCTGGGAACGGCCTAGCATCCACAATATAACCATTGATGGTAGCCGGGTTGCTAAAATCTCGTTGGTAAGGGGCTATTTGTGTATGTCCTAACACAATTTCCCAGCCCCCGAGGCATGCCGTAAAAGCCCTCGGTTGACCGTCAGTTATTTAAGTATTCTGACGAGAAAGGGAAAATCTGCCGATTCATCGATTGGCTCAGACTTAAGCTTTTTCATTTGTATGCTTTTTCTTCCTCTAAATTTTTCTTTTTGCAGAACTAATCGAAATGTTTAAATTCACATTGGAGGCTAGTTCTCCTGAAGAATTGAAAAAATTGGTGGATTTTTGGGCTCAGGCCCATCCTTGTAAGTATTTTGTCAGAAAAAGCAAGTATCCAATCCTTTTTTTTCTTTTTTTTTTTTTTTTCCCCAGGCAATCAAATTTCACCAGGCATTTTTGGTTTATGAGTCTGTGACGATCCGATTAAAAATTGCCTCAGGCAAAGTAGACCAAAGTGCAATTGACCTCAGGCAAAGTAGACCAAAGTGCAATTGACCAAGTGTCGTAGGGTAATAGGGTTCCCCCAGGCAATCAAATTTCACCAGGCATTTTTGGTTTATGAGTCTGTGACGATCCGATTAAAAATTGCCTCAGGCAAAGTAGACCAAAGTGCAATTGACCAAGTGTCGTAGGGTAATAGGGTTCCCCCAGGCAATCAAATTTCACCAGGCATTTTTGGTTTATGAGTCTGTGACGATCCGATTAAAAATTGCCTCAGGCAAAGTAGACCAAAGTGCAATTGACCAAGTGTCGTAGGGTAATAGGGTTCCCCCAGGCAATAATTATCTACTCAAGTATACTCAAGTAAAAATCATTTACTCAAGTATAAAATCATTTACTCAATTATACTCAAGTAAAAGGTATGTATATAATATAGGGTTCCCCCAGGCAATCATTATCTACTCAATTATACTCAAGTAAAAGGTATGTACATGATAAACTACAATTTATAAAAAACTTAAATAATTTTTTCTATAGACTCAAGTGTGTTTTCTTAGACTCAAATTTTTGCCAAAGCATTAAAAAAAGATTACGACACCCCCGATTCCCAGGACGTCTCCGTTCCAAGTACTAAGGAAGCCCAGCGTTGCTTAACTTGCCAGATCGGACGGGATGGCGTGCTTTCAACGCGGTATGGTCGTAATCACTGTGTTTTCAATTTCTCAATATTTAAGAAAAAATTCTCTAAGGCAAAGTGGGCGGGGCTATTTGTTGTTCGCTGTTCGCGGGAATGGTTTAAGGCAAAGAGAAAACGGGCAATTATAAAAATGTGTGGGAGAAAAATTAGGATTAAAAAAATTTTTTTGAAGAATTAAATTTTTCAAAAAAAATAAAGCTTATAATAATAAACTTTAATCTTTTTTTAAATTTAAAGTTTATTATTATAAGCTTTATTTTTTTAAAAAATTTAATGTTATTATTATTTTAAGCTTTATTATCAGATATTTTAAAGCAGCTTTATTCTAAATCTGATAATAATCATAAGCTTTATAATCCTAATTTTTCTCCAGCTGCAATATTTATTTGGCTCCAGACAATTGTCAGGAATTGCCATTGATAACTTTTGTGAAAGTGCCGCTGATAAATTGTAAATAATTTAGATATCTTTTGCAAAGGAAATTAAATATATAATAAGCTGTCATTAATTTTTTAATTTCAGATTATTTTCGAGATTTTATTCTAAAATTATCAATATAATCAATATTAATGACAGCTTAATTACCCGCAGACTGGGTAATTCCAGCTCTGCTAACTACCTAAATAAAAGATATCTGGTTGATCCTGCCTGAACTGATGTGTTCATTTCAAAGATTAAGCCATGCATGTATAAGTTTAATCGTTTTAACGAGAAACCGCGAACGGCTCATTACAATGGCCATGATTTACTTGATCTTGATTATCTAAATGGATAACTGTGGAAAAGCTAGAGCTAATACATGCACCAGAGCTTTGTCCTCTCGGAAAAGCGCATTTATTAGAACAAAACCACGCGGCTTCGGCTGCTTCTTGTTGACTCAGAATAACTAAGCTGACCGCATGGCCTTGTGCCGGCGGCGTGTCTTTCAAGCGTCCACTTTATCAACTTGACGGGAGCATAATCGACTCCCGTGGTGGTGACGGATAACGGAGGATCAGGGTTCGACTCCGGAGAAGGGGCCTGAGAAATGGCCACTACGTCTAAGGATGGCAGCAGGCGCGCAAATTACCCACTCTCGGCTCGAGGAGGTAGTGACGAGAAATAACGAGACTGTTCTCTTTGAGGCCGGTCATCGGAATGGGTACAATTTAAACCCTTTAACGAGTATCAAGCAGAGGGCAAGTCTGGTGCCAGCAGCCGCGGTAATTCCAGCTCTGCTAATACATAGAATTATTGCTGCGGTTAAAAAGCTCGTAGTTGGATTCGTATCGGTACCTTGGAACCCTTCGGGTGTTTCTGGGTGTTATCGATTTATCGTAATGTTCGGTTTTGAGTCCTTAACAGGATTTTTAACAGTCATTGCAAGTTTACTTTGAACAAATCAGAGTGCTTCAAACAGGCGTTTTCGCTTGAATGATCGTGCATGGAATAATAGAAAACGATTTCGGTTCAGTTTTATTGGTTTTACGGACTGAGATAATGGTTAACAATAGACAAACGGGGGCATTTGTATGGCCCCGTGAGAGGTGAAATTCTTGGACCGTGGCCAGACAAACTACAGCGAAAGCATTTGCCAAGAATGTCTTCATTAATCAAGAACGAAAGTCAGAGGTTCGAAGGCGATCAGATACCGCCCTAGTTCTGACCGTAAACGATGCCAACTAGCGATCCGCTGATGGAAATTATATTGCCTTGGTGGGGAGCTTCCCGGAAACGAAAGTCTTCCGGTTCCGGGGGAAGTATGGTTGCAAAGCTGAAACTTAAAGGAATTGACGGAAGGGCACCACCAGGAGTGGAGCCTGCGGCTTAATTTGACTCAACACGGGGAAACTCACCCGGCCCGGACACTGTGAGGATTGACAGATTGATAGCTTTTTCATGATTCAGTGGATGGTGGTGCATGGCCGTTCTTAGTTCGTGGAGTGATTTGTCTGGTTTATTCCGATAACGAGCGAGACTCTAACCTACTAAATAGTTGGTACATACTCTTTGTGTATACAGCTTCTTAGAGGGATTTGCGGCGTTCAGCCGAAAGAAATTGAGCAATAACAGGTCTGTGATGCCCTTAGATGTCCGGGGCTGCACGCGCGCTACACTGGCAAAATCAACGTGCTTGTCCTACCCTGAAAGGGGCGGGTAAACCATTGAAAATTTGCCGTGATTGGGATCGGAAATTGCAATTATTTTCCGTGAACGAGGAATTCCAAGTAAGTGCGAGTCATCAGCTCGCGTTGATTACGTCCCTGCCCTTTGTACACACCGCCCGTCGCTGCCCGGGACTGAGCCATTTCGAGAAATTTGGGGACCGTTGATTTAATTTATCTAAATTATTTTGATGGAAACCAATTTAATCGCAGTGGCTTGAACCGGGCAAAAGTCGTAACAAGGTAGCTGTAGGTGAACCTGCTGCTGGATCATTACTTTATGTGATGTTCAATTTTGAATCGCAATGAAATAATTGTTGTGTAACGGCTGTCGCTGGTGTCTAGGTGTTGCTGATACAGTTGTGAACGTCCGTGGCTGTATATGTGGTGACATGTTAGGACTATAATGAGTTTAAGACTTAATGAGCCTCTTAAGTGAGGACGCCAGCACTCTTTTTTTATATTTTAAAAAAAACAAAATTCCTAGCCTTTCCGGTGGATCACTAGGCTCGTGGATCGATGAAGAACGCAGCAAACTGCGATAAGTTTTGCGAACTGCAGCAGCCTTGAGCATAAAAGTTTTGAACGCATATTGCCGCATAGGGGTCAAACCTATTCTCAAACTCTAAATGGGTATGATGTCAAAGTTGCTTGATTTTGAACTTTGGCGTTGAATACGAGTTCCAAGTGGGCCATTTTTGGTAAGCAGAACTGGCGATGTGGGATGAACCAAACGCGGAGTTGAGGTGCCAAAGTGCCCGCTCATTAGACACCATAAAAGGTGTTGGTTGATACAGACAGCAGGACGGTGGCCATGGAAGTCGGAATCCGCTAAGGAGTGTGTAACAACTCACCTGCCGAATCAACTAGCCCTGAAAATGGATGGCGCTGGAGCGGGCCACCTATACTCTGCCGTCATATGCTTGTATTTTCCGTGAAAAGTCTTGCAATGACGTGTAAGAGGGTCGTAGTGGTTGCAATGAAGGCTTTGGGTGTGCACCCAGCTGGAGCTTCCACTAGTGCAGATCTTGGTGGTAGTAGCAAATATTCAAGTGAGATCCTTGAAGACTGAAGTGGAGAAGGGTTCCACGTGAACAGTAGTTGAATGTGGGTCAGTCGATCCTAAGGCACCGGCTAAAGCCGTCTAGACACTGCGGGGAGATGAGATACTTAACGGTATATTGTCTACTCGGTTGCCGAAAGGGAAGTGGGTTAATATTCCCACACCAGGCATGGGAGATGGTGATCCGCAAGGATTACTTTGCGCGGTGACGCAAACGAACTCGTAGACCTCGTGTGGAGTCCGGGCCAGAGTTCTCTTTTCTGGTTTAGAGATCATGTCCCTGGAAGTGGCTCAGCCTGAGATAGGGATGCTGGTCTCGTAAAGCGCACTTTATCTTTCAAGCGTCCACTTTATCAACTTGACGGGAGCATAATCGACTCCCGTGGTGGTGACGGATAACGGAGGATCAGGGTTCGACTCCGGAGAAGGGGCCTGAGAAATGGCCACTACGTCTAAGGATGGCAGCAGGCGCGCAAATTACCCACTCTCGGCTCGAGGAGGTAGTGACGAGAAATAACGAGACTGTTCTCTTTGAGGCCGGTCATCGGAATGGGTACAATTTAAACCCTTTAACGAGTATCAAGCAGAGGGCAAGTCTGGTGCCAGCAGCCGCGGTAATTCCAGCTCTGCTAATACATAGAATTATTGCTGCGGTTAAAAAGCTCGTAGTTGGATTCGTATCGGTACCTTGGAACCCTTCGGGTGTTTCTGGGTGTTATCGATTTATCGTAATGTTCGGTTTTGAGTCCTTAACAGGATTTTTAACAGTCATTGCAAGTTTACTTTGAACAAATCAGAGTGCTTCAAACAGGCGTTTTCGCTTGAATGATCGTGCATGGAATAATAGAAAACGATTTCGGTTCAGTTTTATTGGTTTTACGGACTGAGATAATGGTTAACAGAGACAAACGGGGGCATTTGTATGGCCCCGTGAGAGGTGAAATTCTTGGACCGTGGCCAGACAAACTACAGCGAAAGTCTTTTTTTGTCTTTTTTATATACTATAGACATGTTTATCCAAGTGCCGTAGGCCAGAGTGCATTGTCAAAAGTAGACCCAGGCAATCAAATTTCACCAGGCATTTTTGGTTTATGAGTCTGTGACGATCCGATTAAAAATTGCCTCAGGCAAAGTAGACCAAAGTGCAATTGACCAAGTGTCGTAGGGTAATAGGGTTCCCCCAGGCAATCAAATTTCACCAGGCATTTTTGGTTTATGAGTCTGTGACGATCCGATTAAAAATTGCCTCAGGCAAAGTAGACCAAAGTGCAATTGACCAAGTGTCGTAGGGTAATAGGGTTCCCCCAGGCAATAATTATCTACTCAAGTATACTCAAGTAAAAATCATTTACTCAAGTATAAAATCATTTACTCAATTATACTCAAGTAAAAGGTATGTATATAATATAGGGTTCCCCCAGGCAATCATTATCTACTCAATTATACTCAAGTAAAAGGTATGTACATGATAAACTACAATTTATAAAAAACTTAAATAATTTTTTCTATAGACTCAAGTGTGTTTTCTTAGACTCAAATTTTTGCCAAAGCATTAAAAAAAGATTACGACACCCCCGATTCCCAGGACGTCTCCGTTCCAAGTACTAAGGAAGCCCAGCGTTGCTTAACTTGCCAGATCGGACGGGATGGCGTGCTTTCAACGCGGTATGGTCGTAATCAGTGTGTTTTCAATTTCTCAATATTTAAGAAAAAATTCTCTAAGGCAAAGTGGGCGGGGCTATTTGTTGTTCGCTGTTCGCGGGAATGGTTTAAGGCAAAGAGAAAACGGGCAATTATAAAAATGTGTGGGAGAAAAATTAGGATTAAAAAAATTTTTTTGAAGAATTAAATTTTTCAAAAAAAATAAAGCTTATAATAATAAACTTTAATCTTTTTTTAAATTTAAAGTTTATTATTATAAGCTTTATTTTTTTAAAAAATTTAATGTTATTATTATTTTAAGCTTTATTATCAGATATTTTAAAGCAGCTTTATTCTAAATCTGATAATAATCATAAGCTTTATAATCCTAATTTTTCTCCAGCTGCAATATTTATTTGGCTCCAGACAATTGTCAGGAATTGCCATTGATAACTTTTGTGAAAGTGCCGCTGATAAATTGTAAATAATTTAGATATCTTTTGCAAAGGAAATTAAATATATAATAAGCTGTCATTAATTTTTTAATTTCAGATTATTTTCGAGATTTTATTCTAAAATTATCAATATAATCAATATTAATGACAGCTTAATTACCCGCAGACTGGGTAATTCCAGCTCTGCTAACTACCTAAATAAAAGATATCTGGTTGATCCTGCCTGAACTGATGTGTTCATTTCAAAGATTAAGCCATGCATGTATAAGTTTAATCGTTTTAACGAGAAACCGCGAACGGCTCATTACAATGGCCATGATTTACTTGATCTTGATTATCTAAATGGATAACTGTGGAAAAGCTAGAGCTAATACATGCACCAGAGCTTTGTCCTCTCGGAAAAGCGCATTTATTAGAACAAAACCACGCGGCTTCGGCTGCTTCTTGTTGACTCAGAATAACTAAGCTGACCGCATGGCCTTGTGCCGGCGGCGTGTCTTTCAAGCGTCCACTTTATCAACTTGACGGGAGCATAATCGACTCCCGTGGTGGTGACGGATAACGGAGGATCAGGGTTCGACTCCGGAGAAGGGGCCTGAGAAATGGCCACTACGTCTAAGGATGGCAGCAGGCGCGCAAATTACCCACTCTCGGCTCGAGGAGGTAGTGACGAGAAATAACGAGACTGTTCTCTTTGAGGCCGGTCATCGGAATGGGTACAATTTAAACCCTTTAACGAGTATCAAGCAGAGGGCAAGTCTGGTGCCAGCAGCCGCGGTAATTCCAGCTCTGCTAATACATAGAATTATTGCTGCGGTTAAAAAGCTCGTAGTTGGATTCGTATCGGTACCTTGGAACCCTTCGGGTGTTTCTGGGTGTTATCGATTTATCGTAATGTTCGGTTTTGAGTCCTTAACAGGATTTTTAACAGTCATTGCAAGTTTACTTTGAACAAATCAGAGTGCTTCAAACAGGCGTTTTCGCTTGAATGATCGTGCATGGAATAATAGAAAACGATTTCGGTTCAGTTTTATTGGTTTTACGGACTGAGATAATGGTTAACAGAGACAAACGGGGGCATTTGTATGGCCCCGTGAGAGGTGAAATTCTTGGACCGTGGCCAGACAAACTACAGCGAAAGCATTTGCCAAGAATGTCTTCATTAATCAAGAACGAAAGTCAGAGGTTCGAAGGCGATCAGATACCGCCCTAGTTCTGACCGTAAACGATGCCAACTAGCGATCCGCTGATGGAAATTATATTGCCTTGGTGGGGAGCTTCCCGGAAACGAAAGTCTTCCGGTTCCGGGGGAAGTATGGTTGCAAAGCTGAAACTTAAAGGAATTGACGGAAGGGCACCACCAGGAGTGGAGCCTGCGGCTTAATTTGACTCAACACGGGGAAACTCACCCGGCCCGGACACTGTGAGGATTGACAGATTGATAGCTTTTTCATGATTCAGTGGATGGTGGTGCATGGCCGTTCTTAGTTCGTGGAGTGATTTGTCTGGTTTATTCCGATAACGAGCGAGACTCTAACCTACTAAATAGTTGGTACATACTCTTTGTGTATACAGCTTCTTAGAGGGATTTGCGGCGTTCAGCCGAAAGAAATTGAGCAATAACAGGTCTGTGATGCCCTTAGATGTCCGGGGCTGCACGCGCGCTACACTGGCAAAATCAACGTGCTTGTCCTACCCTGAAAGGGGCGGGTAAACCATTGAAAATTTGCCGTGATTGGGATCGGAAATTGCAATTATTTTCCGTGAACGAGGAATTCCAAGTAAGTGCGAGTCATCAGCTCGCGTTGATTACGTCCCTGCCCTTTGTACACACCGCCCGTCGCTGCCCGGGACTGAGCCATTTCGAGAAATTTGGGGACCGTTGATTTAATTTATCTAAATTATTTTGATGGAAACCAATTTAATCGCAGTGGCTTGAACCGGGCAAAAGTCGTAACAAGGTAGCTGTAGGTGAACCTGCTGCTGGATCATTACTTTATGTGATGTTCAATTTTGAATCGCAATGAAATAATTGTTGTGTAACGGCTGTCGCTGGTGTCTAGGTGTTGCTGATACAGTTGTGAACGTCCGTGGCTGTATATGTGGTGACATGTTAGGACTA